GGATGGAGCCCTTATGAGAAATAGAAGTGGATGAATTTGCAGTAAAAAAAAAACAGCAATACACTCACAGATGCGCGCACATCTGTGCATCTGGCCTTGGATGCGTTCAGGCAGGAAGCAAAACTCCCCGTTTGCTTCCATTTATTAGACCGCTCAAGGCTGGTCTGCAATAAACATACAAAAGCACTTGAAAAAGGCAAACACCTCTTCAATCAAATCCTAGTCATTTCAAGACCTTTCGGAGATTTCTGCTTTTAGACACTAGATATTTCCAACACACACAAAAGTCTAATTATCCGTGGAAGTTTATGTTAAAGCCACAGTTAAAGATGCGGAATGTTTTTGTGTAACCTGGTTTCTCTGGAGATTAAAGCTGAAATTATGCAAGGCTCAACCCGATGCCTCGATGGCCCGATGCCCGAAACCTCGCTTGCTGTGAGGCAAACGGTTTTCTAATTGAAGTGGTTTGTAAATTCTCTGTAATAGTCTCTCCCAGGGTTTTAGCAGATGAAGAAAAAGAGTTCGGACAAGTATGTTTAAGGGCATACCAGTCTTTCTATTCTATCCCCAAAACTGGCAACAAAAAAAAGTGTTTAAACTAAATAGGGAATTCTTTGTGGGGCATCAAGCAAAGCACAGTCAAAGCAGTGTGTGCACAAAATGTAGATCATGCAAAATTGTGTTTGAATATTACAACTGACGCTTAAAATCCAAAAGTCACCTTTGAACATTTGAGTCAGATGAAAAAATCAAAAATTCAAATATCTAACAAGCTATGACAGAAGGAATTGCGTTTCTAAAACTCTGGAAACTGTCACCTGTGATCAGTAGACATGCAGAGGGTTAGATGAGAGGATGTGAACAGCTTTTGTGCTTTTACAGTCACCTTTAAGCCCCGAGCTGGTGAGTTAGCTCAGTTTGATGTAGCTAAGAGTAAAGATGGAGAACAAAGGAGGCTCTTTTCAAAGGAAATGGAATTTTGCTTTAGCCAGAAACCACCACAGGCACGATGGGATTTCTCATCTTCGTTACATTAGTGGGATTAAATACTCATTATTGACTGAATGGCTATGATAGAAGTACCACATGTATTTAAATGGCAGCATCTTAAATAGTTAGCTATTTCTATTCTTCTCTGCTCTTGCAATGATGTCACATTTAATCCAATCTTACAGGAAACAGCCTTTTTCATCCTTTTTGCTAAAAGGCTTATTCCCAATGGGGTCACGGGGGGACCCTGGGGACTCCAACCTCAAAAACTGAAGATGTTTACATGGTGTTCAAGCAAAAGAAAGATAGGCTTGTCTAACTAGCTGTGTGCACCGTGCATTAAGGGCTGGGATCTCTCCTCTCTGTATGATGGCCACAGTGCCAGATTCCAAAACCATATTTCCTGTCTGCTCCGCCTAGAAAATGTTTTATTAATGGATTTTTGACCTCTGTTTAGCAGGCAGTGCCTGCTGGAAAAGCTGACAGGGAAATTGTTCAAACCGAGTGGTTCAGTTTTCTAAATATGTTAATTTGATGCCTGAAAAATGTGATTTGGCTGCATCACTTTCCAGTCCAAAAGTCAACCATTGAGAAATTGTTTTCCGTTCATGCCAAATTAAGCATATTAAGTTTTGAAATATATCAGTCGTGAAAATCTGGCGCGGAGCTCTGCAGGTCCTTCACTGTTCTGCAAGATCCATCAATCTGCACGAAGTTTACTTGACGTCCATGTGGCAAAATTCACAACCGCAGGACAACAGGACCATCTGAGGCGGACGGCTCTGAGTAACGTCTGCCCTCCGTCCACTCTGGTCAGATATCCCTACTGTGTCATGGACAGGAGCTCAGATGTGTGTTTACATCACATGATGTTTTCATGGACTGAGTCACACACTCCTCAGTGCGTCCACTGTGTTTGCATAGAAGGCAAAAAAGTGAATCACGGCTGTGACTGCTAATAATATCAGACATAAAAATAGGAAAGATGTTATCACCGAAGAGCTATGTGGCTTTTTTTTTGTTGAATGAATGTTTATGCTCTGTCCACTCTGACTGGCTGGACCACAGAGCGGCCCCAGGTCCACCTGCTAGCCCACAGAGGGAAATAAAAGCCTGCCCAGACAGTTTAGAGAATTTGTTTTCGCAGACATTATTTGGATACTTTGCACATTTGTGGTTATGGCCTCATAATGAAGTGCATACTCATTCCTTCACTTTCTTTGACCAAATGCTCAATCCTTCATTTTCTTTGGCCAAATGTTAATTCTTTCATTTTCTTACACCTTCTCCCTCCCATTTTGCGACGCTCTGTGACTCCCATTGACTTTTACCCCGCTCCTGAGTCCTGCTGAGTTTGTTATTTTATCCTCCCTATTTTCCAAAACATTACTGTCGATAGCTCCAGTTCCCGGTCCTGGGACAGATGTTCTGTACAGGTGAGCCTTATGAGTCACAGCACCCAAACACAGCCCTGCAGGCTGGCTCTCCTCCTGTTTCTCGTTTCATCTTTTATCTCGCTCTGGCACAGTTGACTGACTTTGTGACTGGTCAAAACATGACTTTAGCTGCGTAAGAGAGAAGGAGCTGTATTTTACCGACACTGTGTCGACATTTACCCGGGAAAAGTTTACTTTTAACACATGTTGTAGACACAAACCAGATGTTCAATAGTTTCTACAGTTAGCAAACTAACATGACCACATCACTGATTATATCTCCAGCTATTTTTTCTCAATGCGGGCGGAAAAGCGTGTTTTCTTTCTTCGTTTGATTCCCTTTCCTCTGTTCTCCTTCTAAATATGTCATTCCCACTCTTATCTGCCTCTGAGGTTTATCTTCATTTGTATGTCTATCCTAATGTTTATCTGTCTGTCTGAGTCCTGTCCCCTATTCTGGTATGTTTAATGTTACCCAGAGTCTGCTCTCAGTCACTCACAGACGACTCCGACTGAGGCAAATGTAAGGTGGTGTTACATAACTCTCAAAAATTGCACTATAGGGACGTTGTTCTGTGCACCTTGATTTATACGTGGGTGTCCTGGAGACTTCCTGGAGGGGGAGCAGCAAATGCATGAATACTAAACTTTGTTTCGGGATCTTCAGAGATTATGTTTTCCCATAAATGCCACATTAAACATCCATTCAAGCCAGGGGGCCACCCTAAACTGTGAGTCGACTGAATGCATGTAGAATAAAGAGTGGTCTGGGGGTATCTGCTCAGACTGTGCCCCCCACAACCCACAGATCAGTAGCCAATAATGGATGAATGGATTGTTGAATGGATGGGTGTTGATTATACTTGAGAAACAGAATCGTTAAGCTAAAGATTGGCCATTGAAGCAATTCATACACAACTTTTAATCATGTGAGATCACACGGCTTAGTGTGTGAACGTGGTGCCGATATATCCTTCAACACACAATATTATGGACAAGTGAAGCTATAGGTCCAATGACAGCAAATGGGTCTATTTTTAGTTATAGTTACATTGATTATCCTTGCATCCGGGCTATGGCAAGATCAACTAAGGCTAAGCCTAACAATTTAAATTATTTGTACCTTTTATAGTATTTTTTTCTTATTGTATGAAAAACAAATGCCCACAGTTTCTTTCCTGTCTGAAGGAGTGCCCTGATGCCTTGTGCCTGGTGTCTGTTTCTTCTCAAATCATCCAACTTTGCTCAAGTCAACATTTTTTAAAAATCCTGCTCTGACCACATCCAGTTTGACAGGTCCAGGTGTGGGCCGACAGGTGGGATAAGCAGTCAGTGGGCACTGCTTGTAAATCAACACAGTGAAGGCCCTAGAGATGGGAGGAGTTGGATTTTCCAGCCCGAATCTCCCACAGTATCCAGTGACTCACTTCCTTAAAGCCTGCCATCCACACAAACGACTTGTTGAATGGTTGCCATGTAGAAGATATCCAATGGTAGCTGTCATTCCTGCCACCTGACCCCAATGTTTCAGCATTAACCCATTCATGTCTCAATGATGATCGACTACACCTTCCTAAAAACCCCTGATCATCCAGCCAATCTTTCTATCCAACACACTATCAACATAGAGATTGCCTCTTTGTCCAAATCCCCTCCCCAAGGCAGGAGCAACCTAGGCCTGTTGACCATTGGATGGCTATTCTTCCTCATTGCATCTATGTCTTGCCTGAGTTCGGAGCATTTTCTGTCTATCTGTAAATAAACTCTGTGAAACATATCTGACCAGGGAAAATCTGGTGTTATTCTATCCTTAGGCTTTGTGTTGTATCTCACTTTAAAATGGCTTCGACTAGAATTCTGTCCATACTGTGTCCTTCATTTATGGCTGCCATTTCTCTGGGGAAAATTCTGAATCACAAAACTTTCTTGAAAATGTCTTGAAGACAACCTTGTTTAAACCAGCCCTAACACTAGTTTGCGAGTCATGTCCTTTGGAAAATAATCATACCTTAGGAATAAGGTGTTCCCAAATCCCTTGAAGCAATGATTTCCATTCTTATTGCCTAAAGAGAGCATGACACCACTGAAGCCTTTGCCTGTTTACAAGTATAGCCTTAAAGCAATCCTTTCCAGTTGATGCTACCCAACAAATACACATTTCTTTCCATTTTCTCAGAGGCATATTTGGGATAAACAGTGGAGCCGGCCCATGCTGTGTCCATATGGCGGATGCTCTAGCTCTGTTGTGCAACAGCACTGGCAGACAGTGGTGAATATTGCCGTGTACCTGCTATAAGGCAGGTCAGGCATCTCTTTGCCAGCCTCTCCTGACCCTCTTCTCTGTCTGTGTGTGTGTTTTTAATCCCCTGCTTGTTTTGCTCCGCTTCTCTTGGCCTTTTTCCCCCCCTCGCCCACAGCCCTGTGCTCTTCGGAAAGGGCGTAGGAGTTCGGGAGAGAGTGAGCTAATATCCCAGTCTGATTAAATGGTCGAAAAGAGGGCTGATAGCATGAGAAGGGAGGGGAAAAGGCAAAAGGGAGGTGGGAAGTCAGAAGGTAGAAGATGAAGGGGTGGGGGGGGAGTGGGGGGAGGTAGGATGAGTATAAAAGCTTTGCTGTGAAGAATTAGGAAATATTCCCCGGGAGAAAATACTCAGAGATATTTCCAAATCTTCTCACTCTAATACCCTTTCAAGGTAAGTGCATCACAGCTAATCTTCAACTGCTTCATGTGAAAACTATTTTATTCCCAAACTTATTTCAAAAGAATAACATTGTTAGGCAAACTGAAAAAGTTCCTCATTGGCTGGTGTTCATTCCGCTAACCCCTTTGTAACATATTTTCCATTTTTTGCTAATACGTGCATCTGTTGAATTTAAGTAGGTCTCCTTTAGTGGAAAGAGAAGGTGATACGTTGCATTGCAGCTCTTTTACAGACCGACTTCGGTACAGGGGATTTTTTTTCCAATGAGGTGGGCACATTCTGCCTGTAGGGTGTAAAGTTAGAACCCCCTGCTAAGCTTCAGACTTGCGTAAAACTCCGCAGACACTGTTGTCAGCACTTGATGGACACGCAGACGTGCACATACTCGTCTGGCAGTCTGTGCCAACCCCTTCTGAAGCCGCTCTTTGAACTCTGGGTTTCTGGGCTCACTCCCTCTGGGGCCCGCCGTGAGCCCGGGGGATGGCCGACTTTGAGTTATGCCTCTGGGGTCGATGCTATGAAGGCGTCTGGCTCTGTGTAAAGCCAGTGTCGGAGGGTTTTATGTGTGAGCGTGTGTGTGTGTGTGTGTGTGTTGGGGTATAATGAAAGCTGCCATTGATGGCACCGAGGACGGCGTCTGCCGAAACAGAATCCCATCCAAATCCCACAAACAGACGATGGGGGATGAAAGGCTTTCTGCCGTGCAGAAACACACACAAGCGCAACATCTGTGTGCGATTGGACGTGTGCACGGGACGCTTTGGGCGTCCAACACATCTGCTGACTGTTTATGCAGGTGTCACTTCTCTTGTCGTGGGTCACTTCATTCCTGTGACGGAGCATTTGAGAGCACATGTTGGAGCCGTACGCAGACACGTGTTAATGTGTGTGTGTGTGTGTGTGTGATGAAACGCGTAGAATACCTTCAGCTCATAATTACAGTCTGTTAAGCAAAAGTGATTTTGGACTTAATTAGCTGGCAGCCGGACAGCTTTTCTCAGCCACAGCTATTCTCTGTTGGCTCTTCCCGATAAACTGAGGTTTAAAACGGAGCGTCGCTGGCCTCGACTTTAATTGCCCACACTGGCTCATCAGTCTGGCCGTATGAATTCATACTGTCCTTGGTATGTGTTTGCTCTACTCAGACGCGTGTAAAAACGGTCCCAAAGCCCATAGGATAGCACATACTACCTGTTTATGTGTCTGCTTTGAAACCACAGCGACATATATAGAAGCTCTGCCATTTTGGCCATCCCTCCTAGTTTTGGGTTCTCTTCTGTTTATCCACAGATTCTGTTACTCTCTCAACTTTTTTATATATTTTATTCTCGTCATGACTGCTCTCTCCCTCTTCCAGCACTCAGCCCGGATCAAAAGCCCCAGGATGAAGAGTCTCGTTCAGTTGTTGGCCCTCTGTGCCGTCGTCTCTCTGTGTGTCTGCTATGGTACAGATCCTCCCAGACATCCTCACTTTGCCATCAATGATCACGTATTTATTCTCGGTGACAGTCAGACAGACATGTCTCACATGTGATTAACCCGAAACCATGTTTTTCCCTTAGAGTCTCATGAAAGCACAGAGTCCGTTGAAGGTGATTAAACCATTGCATCTCAGTTCTGGAAAAACATGCATGCATTTCTAACACAGCCTGCTGTTACAGCACTTAATCCCCATTTCACCCCTCGACTAACATCCCCCCGACCATTACTCCACCTGAGCCAGAGCAGCTGCATGGTTGACAAGCCGTTAAAAATTAGAATTAGATTGCTTTTTTTTGGTTCAGATAAGTTTTGTGGTTACAGAATTGTTTGTGCCTCGAAACCGAGCCAACTCATTCATCCCACCGAGGAGGGGCAACGTCTTTAATCCACCCAGAGGAAACATCTTCAACGGCTTTGACCTCACCAGGTAAAACGCCCCAACCTGGGGACTCGCACACGGACCACATAACACGATTTAAAAGCAAACAGGCATGCCAGGCGCACACAATATGACAGATAATTGAGACAAATTGAGTCAAACGCGGGGCCTGCAGCGGAGGGAGAATGATTTGATAAAACGATGCAAACCCTGCCCGTCCACCAGGAACAGGAAGTCTCCCGCAGAGAGACGTGCCGAGACCTGCGAGGACTACTCTCCCTGCCGATACTACGCCTATCGCCACGGCTTCCAGCAGGCCTACCAGAAATACTTTGGAGCCCGTTATCCACCCCAGCAACCCCACAGACCAGCTGCGACTCGTCGATTCTAAAGCGAGCAACCTAAAATTATCCATACTTTATATGCATTGATATTATGTTTTTCACCCAATCTATCTGTTTTTTTTTTTGTTCTTACTTTTGGCTTTGGGATAAAATCCCAGAAAAAAGCCCCAAGACGTCCAGTATGACTAAACAACCAGTCATTGCTCGTGTGAAAGTATACAGTTAGCCTCCTGTACAATTGCAGGATTTCTTGTATCTACTATTATTACACCTTCCCAGCTTTTATACATTAGCAGGATATGCTCATAAGAGGGGTTCCTCTGCTCACTATCAGCTTACATGTTTTTTAAAGTTACCAGGACTGTTGTGTCAGTGATCATTTCCATTGTATTGCAAAAAATAAAAAGGAAATGTGGAATTTTTTCCTAAACCTGTTTGTACTTTGTTTGGGATTCAGGTGGTTTTAATCACATCTTGGCTGCAGTGTTACTGAGATGAACAGATTCCTGTTATAGACGACTGGGAGGGCGTTCGTTTTAACTACTTTACATGTAAAAACACCAGTGCTGCAGCTGAAACCAGAGTACAGCACATGCAAAGATCCTTTTCGATGAGTATCTTTTAACGGAACATTCAGCTTTGACTATAAAAAATTGTTTTGGTTACACAAACAGAGAGGCTTAGACAAGGTTCAAGCTTGTCCATCACTGTAGTTTCACTTTATGTCAAATGCAAAATAGAAATCTGCCAAATAAGAAAAATCCCATTTATGTGAAATACAATAGACAGTTGAACTTTAAAGTGCCATTAAATGTACACAAACTGTGTGTAACTACTTGAAGTCTCGACGTTCCTAACACCTAGTGGTTAAGTCAGAGATAGCTACCAACTCCAACGCTTTCCACACACCTTCGAGTGAACAAACACATGGTTATTGGTTTGTCAAATTGTAGGCATTGGGGGAAAAAAGCAACTTCAGCGTCATTTGGAAGACATGATCCTCATCAGAGATTCTCATCTGGGAAACGCCACACAAGGGTTGATTCTGGTTTTCGAGCGTGGCCCTTTCCCGCATCCGCTTTGCCTTGCCATGTTCTCGGTTCTTTGACGAGGTCCGCTCACATGTCCCCACCTGTTTATGTGTTACGAAATGTGCATCCGAACCGGTGCATCATGGGTGGCTCAGATGTGGCCCTGTCTTTTAAGAAGGAACCATTGGACAGAATGGCTTAAATGTTTCATTCTTAGGTAATAAAAACAAAGACAATTTGGGAAAGCTATCTGAAACTAATACAAAATTCTTCAGAACAAAGCATGCATTTTTCATTAATGTTCCCAAGTTGTTCACCTTTTTCAAACTCCAAGTATAGCATTAAATTTGTCTTTATTTTCCACCCCTGGTTTGTTTGAGAGTAAGGTACAATTTCTTGTGACCTTAAGAGGAATTTATGTAGTAAAGCACACATCTGTGCCTCATTGTCTTTGTTGCCATCAACACAATTTGAACACAGTCCTCGTCAGCATGCCAAAGACCTAAAAAGGCGGTTGCTTTGTTGGTCCCTTTTGCCACTTGGCACAAATGTGGCCAGCGACGGCCCTCTTGAGGCTGCATCTCGAAAATCTGGCTCTGAAAAGAGACGAGGGCACCAACGCTGACCCAGCGAGTTAAAATTACCCCGCTTTTATAGAACTTCCGGGACCTGTCCAGAATCCGAACATCCAGTAAAAATAAAGAAAAAAGAACCAGGACTGCAGTCAGGAGCAGTTCCGTGTAACTGCGACGTTCAAAGGTAATGCATTCGCAGAGCAAAGTGAAGATTAAAAGATGTCTCTGTTCCGTGAAGTCGTATTTTAATTGCCTCCCTCAGCTTCACTGGAGCTGGAAGCAGGAAACAGGAACTTAAATTATATTTCCTCATTTCTACAGCTCCCCAAACAAACAGAGGTTGCTTCTAAATGTTGCCTTCTTTTTGTAGAAAGTCGCTGCGGTTTGCTATAAAAAAATAGACCTCTCAGAATTAAAATCGTGTCACATCGTGAGAGCCGGTGGTTTGTCTCTCTCAGTTACTATTACATGCTTCTGCCTGCAACATGCACTTAGTGACCTAAATGTAAAAGTTTGTGGGTGCTGGAAAAGTCTCTCCTGGGTGCCAGCTGTCAGCTTTTTCTGAAGATTCCAGGAGGTGCTTTCATTCGGGCCTCTTTTTTCTTTTCCTTTTTTTTTCTCTTTATTATCTTATTATGTTTTCAAGTTATTTCCCATTTTCTCACCAACATGCATGCATTGTGTCAGAACATAAATCCCTTTAGTTTTCTTAAAGAAAGACCTAATCGTACCAGTGATGGAAGGACTTTTGGCCCACAAATTCTTTCTTTCCACATGTACTCTGAAACTATCTCTATACCTTATTTGTCTTTAGCTCATCCGTTCATGTGTTGAATTTATAAACTGGCATGAATTACACATTTAAAAAGTCCCTCTTTTTACCCAAATGGGCTTTTGCCGAGGTGTGTGTACGCGCATCCCTGTGGGTGTGTGATGCCCTTTTCTCCAACCAATCACACGCCCGTGTCACGACGAGGGCCACATCTATAAACCCCACTTTGCGTTTCAACTGTGTTCGAAAGACTGTCGGACAGGGAGAGGAGAGACACGCAGCTGCCCGAGGCTTGGGTCACATCGCTGGCACAGAAAGAAAAAAACTCAGTCAAGACGGTGAAGAAAGAAGCTGAAAGATGAAGACTTTGGTCCTCCTGGCTCTGTGCTCCCTGACAGTCATATGTGTGACCTCAGGTAAGCTCCCCACAGCAGGAAACACTCCAGAATTACAGACACCTGTAATTCTGTACATTTTAGAAACGCCAAACATAAGTAGAAAAAAAGGGACAAATGGATATACTGGCGGTAACAGCGAAATTCAACAAATCGGTCATTTTTGGGGGGGAATTTTATTTTTTCCCCTGGTTTTTAACAGGTGCAGCCACCGGCCCTCAGCCTGCTGGAGACAATCCACCTCAGGAGGGTACGAGCAACTCTCATCACAGTTATTTTGCAATTATTCTATCTAAGTTGATCAAATTGTTGATTACTGACAGTAACAGGGGATTTTACCTGGAGAAAATAGTGGTGCTTGGTACCAAAGTAATGTGTTCAGGTACTTACTTTTAAGATTCTAAATAGACCTCAGATTTCCAAAGCTGTTGAGCAAATGTAAAAGAAAAATGTATTTGGAGGTTAGAGTCCTATAAAACGTGTTCACTTTTTCTAAGCACAACTGTTTTTAGGTCCGCTTGACCTTGTCAAAGGAGAGGAAAATAACTTTTTGTGCACTTTTGTGAACTGACGACTTAAAACCAGAGAGAATAAAATTTGAATCAACTCGCTTTGCTAAAGCAGTTTTTGACATTTGAATTTCTTAGATTGCTGCCAGACTTTACAGCGTTAAAGAGCTTTTACAAGAGCTTTTACGTTAAAGAGCTTTTATCAAATATACGGTCTGCTTGGGAAATTCTTGGGCTGGCTGATGGGCACATGCTGTTTGGATTTCCAGTTAAAGGAGGGAGTCTGGTGATAGTCGGGGCTGCGACGTGACATGCTCTGCTCCGCTGCGGTCGTGATGATGATGATAAACCACCTACCATGCAAAATAAATAAACAAATAACACAGCATTGTGTGGCATGTGCAGGGTTGTTTGTGGAGAGAGAGCAGGCTTCCACGGTGGTGAGGCAGAAGAGAGCTGCTGGAGAGTTATCCCTAACTCAGCTGGAGAGGTATATCCGGTCTAATTTCTCAACACTCACAACTGTTCCTTTTATGTTTACCTCAGATAGTCAGATTACACGGAGACGGTCATATCGTGAATAGCAATCTGTCTCCTCTCCATTCCAGCCTGAGAGAGGTGTGTGAGGCCAACATGGCCTGTGAGGACATGATGGACACGAGCGGCATCATCGCCGCCTACACCGCCTACTATGGACCAATCCCCTTTTAGAAGCACGGCCACGACTGGACCGCTCAGCAAAACCGCCCCCTCTCCTCCGCAGATCCTTTATCGAGCCGGATCTCTCCCTTGCTGCCAAGTAATGTTTTGTTCGAGCGAAAGAAGAGCATTCCGTCTTACATACACTTGCAAATATGTATTTCTCTGCCTGTAGAGTAGTGTGATGAAAGTAAATAAAGATTAATCAAACTCTGCTGCTGAGTGATCCTTCTCATAAAACATCACATTTCATCCAAAATAAATTACCCCCACACCTCAGAAAAGAAAATGCGTTGATGGGTTTTGACCACTTGATGTCCCTATGGAGTCACTTAATTTATTGTTTTCTAAAATAGAAAAAAAAAGAAGTCTAAATAACTCTCCAGATGCATATGCAGTCAACTTTCTTTCTGTTATAAAGACTTTGTCTCTTCTTTTTAAGTCTTTGAAAAAATGTTTTTATTGGTGATGGTGAGTTCTAAGTGGGTTCAAAAGTACAGTCAATAAATACAATGCAGGACTGGAGTGCTCTTATCCCATTCTCAGACAGTAAGTTCTAAAATTGGAAACAAATGTAAAAGATTTTTTTTTTTTAAGCTAACCATAATGCAACTGTAATCCCACTCTTTGGCTGTGTGTTGTCATCTGTTTTAAAGAACTAAATGTTAGGGGAACAATAGATAACTGGGCCCCTGATAGCGTTTTACTGCACGACACATGTCATTCAAATCTAGATATTTACTGAATGTATCAGACAGTATATCAGATCCCCAGGAGCACCCAGCAAAAGGGCTAAGTCTCATTTATCATCATTTTTAACCATTTTGTCCATGATACACAAACAATTTTTTTCATGCAAGTTCTTTCACAAGAGAATTAGCTGATGTGTGAAATAATAAAAGACAGTTTTCCCATTTAATGAAAAGGTCTTAAATGTTAATGTAACTACTTTTATTTTAAAATGTAGCACTTTGAGAGGAACTTTGGAATTGATTCAAAGCAATTTAATTAGCACTTTACCAAGCACTTTGTTTAGCACTGCACTTTAAGCAGTGATTTGCTCATAAAGACTCATTTGTTCACAAGAAGTTTTAACTCTGAGTATTTATTGAGTATTTCAATGATTGACAGGTAACTTTTTGTTCCAAGATCTGCACAGCTGCACCTCCTTGAGCAGTGGGGTAGTTGTTTGTGAGAGGAAAAGAATAGTTATGCAGAGGAAATAAGGTCTACTGTGTTGAAATTTAAGCAAATGTTTGTGTAAAGAGTGTTGTAGTGGATAGAATGGGTGTGGGGGTGCCATAGCGATGACGGCACTAATTGGTCAGGTGGTGTTGGGAGCGGTAGCTTTTGAAATCACCTGTTCACTCGCAAAGGTGACAGTTTTAGTAGTGAGTGGGTGATGGGGGAAGCCTACTTTTTGCTGAACGCTATACGCTTTATACTTTACTCTTTACACCTTAAGATTTTGGATCGGATCGAATCGAGTTGGCTGTGAACGTTCGCGATAGATTACCGTATGTGGATTATGGATGCCTGTGAACTGTGACGTGTTAATGTTGGATACGTGAAGATAAAATAAAGCAATAACACGAAGATTTTGGACTGGCGTTTGAACATCAAGCGCGTCTGGCTCGTTAGTTTCCCCTAATCAGCTGCTCGGCGACCTAAAAGTTTGTGATCAGTCGCCAATAAGTGTTAAGAGTGCAGGTGCAAGAGGAGAAGTGTTTAGGTGCTTAAAAAGTAGTGACTCACTTGTCTTTCCTGTGCCCTCTCCTTGGTGTTTGAACAAATGCTATTTATAGGTTCCGGGGGAGGCCATGAGAAAGTATAACCCAGAGTGACACAGGTGTAACAACCTGTTTAAACTGAAATACGTTTATTCAAAATGGCCAATTGAACCTGTAGAAGTCATAGATCTCTGACATTTTGTGGAGCTAACTGAAATTTTTTACAGTTTTTATATAATAAATGGGGTTCATTTTCTAGCCCCAATCATTTATCTTTGGGCTATTATGGGTTAACGTGTGTTGAATTAAATCTGCTGTCACTTTGCAAAATATAGGTTGCAAGGTCAAACTTGTGTTGTGTTGTGTTATGTTATGTTGTGCGATCTCACGAACTTTCCAAGCATTTCCTTGTTGGTTTCTTGTCTGATTTCCTCTTCAGGGTGAACAATAGAATCATTGTATTCAAAGAGCAGGGACAGATTCACTTACCTGCTTACTATTTTTAGAGTATTCATAGCGAGTGCCAACACAAACTGGCACTGGCCACTAACCAGGATGTAGGTGTGTCTTTTAATCTGGGTGCTGGTCTTTCTTGATTTCGAAACATTAACTCTTTCATGCTCAGCGTCTTCAATACGGACCTAGATTTGCTTTGCTCCTCCATTCATGCAATGTTGTCTCATCAAATTACAACTTCACACTGAAGATAATAACGTGTCATAAATGGATGATGAAGGCAGACATTCTAAATATCTGTATTTCCAGCCTTTCGATTTATTTGATTCAAAGTCAGTTTCCTTGCAGGTGAGAAATAGTCTGGGCTGTAATGGTGGGACACACATTGATCTTACATGTCTGTAACCAACCTCTGTGACACCCATGCTAAAATATTTCACTAACCTCAGGAGTTTCTGTGGAACTCAGCTAGTTTAGACCTTTAAAGCCTGATCCAAGAAAAATAAGAATATTGGATTTTTTTAGTCTGAAGTCTTTCTTTGGCCCCTCAACAACATATGAAGAAAGAAAAAAGGAAATTATTTTAATCAAATTAGCAAGAAGCAATAAGTCAAAAATATGTTTTCGTGTCGTCTTCTACTCGCTGTTATCAGGTATTTCTGAATGTGTACGACAGGGGTTTGAGCAAAGCTTTTACCATTAAATGATGCAAAAAGTCTCATATCCAAAAGACTTCTGAAACCGTATGTATCAAGTAGGATACGTTTGGCAGTATAGGGCTAAGAATGACATTTATCGCCAAAAGCTTTGTCTCTCAGACTGCCAAAAACCAGTGTTTGAGATTTTACCCAATGATTAGCAAAGAAAATGACTTGCTGGAAACAATGTTTGATAAACTGGTTTTTGATTAACAAGCAGTTCTTACTGGAAGTGTAAATTATTTGGGCACGCTGGGAACAGCATGTCCGAATAATTTTTACTCTTAACGAACATCCATCAGTTTTACCTAATGGTGATCTGCCCAGTTAGAGTGACAACAGCACGGTTAACATTTGACATGCATGTTAAAGGGATTTTCTGATCATGTTTGGATGAGAAGTTTTGTCTTCTATTTGCAAGCTTGATTAAAAAACCTGGCAGCCTCTGCGGGGTTAAAGGCGTGTAAAAGCTGCCTTGTGTGTTCACAAGGGTTTTTTTGAAATTTTTTTTACTTCTTACGCAACACATTTTTCATTCTATACCCGGAAAGTCCCAGCACGTCACCGGCCGGGCGGCCTTCTTAAGTATCCCGCCGCAGACTTCAGGAGGCAGAGATGGAGCAGCAGGCCTTTGACAGGGAGAACCGAAAACGCATCCAGGCGGTGCAGAACGCCTTCGGCCCATCGGGGGAGACCCTGTGTTGTCCCGGTCGGATCCTGTTTGGAGAGGGCGTTCTGATGAAGCAGGGTCGCAAGAAGTGGCAGCCGAAGGGCTTCTTCCTTTTCAACGACATCCTGGTGTACGGCAGCGTCCTCGTGAGGGGCCGCTGGTACAACAACCAAAAGATCATCCTTTTAGGTGAGGAGCTCATGACGCTTCATTTCAACATGAACAGTCAGTTTAAATTGAAATTAATGGACTCAGTATACAATTTCTTCATTTCGCCCTTTGATTTTTAAAAGAAAGGTTACTGTGAATCCCAGTTGTTTTGCATTTTTTTGTATTAAGTGTATGATTTTTCACTCAATGTGAAATTCAGCTTACTTCCTTTCGGGTTTATTTGTAGTAAACGTATATTTATGTGTTTTTGAGCAATTTTTTTCCCATGTTTGTAATTTGTGTGAGCTTACAATGTCGGTGCTTTGTACTTAGCATGTATTACATTTTGAGTAATAGGCCACCAGTGTGGACGTTGGTGGTTATGGACTGTTTTGCTGCTTATTTCAGAGGATGTCAAACAGGAGGACATGGAGGACGGCGACGACGTGAAGAACCAGTGGCTGATCTGCACGGCGAGCAAGTCCTTTTTCGTGTCGGCCGGGTCGAGCGAGGAGAAGCAGGCCTGGATGGAGCACATCGAGGACTGCCGCCGCCTCCTGCTCCAGGCCGGCGGCCGCCAGCCGCGCTCCACCTTCGCCGTGTCCTGGATTCCCGACCGGGCCGCCCAGAAGTGCCTGCGCTGCCTCGGCAAGTTCACCGGCACCAAACGCCGGCACCACTGCAGGAAGTGCGGCTTCGTGGTGTGCAGCGGGTGCTCCCAGCAGCGGGGGGTCATCCATAACATCCACCCCACCAAGCTGCAGAGGATCTGCTACCGCTGCCACCAGCTGATGAGGCAGGAGGAGCAGCCGGACAGCGCCGGGGAGAACGACAATGGCGGAGAGTCCGGTGACGGTGACAAACTGCAGAGATACACGCCCAGCAGCTGGCTGGACACCCGGAGAGGCACGTGGGCCCATGTGGGCCCTCATCAAACAGTGCCTGAGTGAAACAGAACTTTATCAAGACTGTTTCTGTCCATAAAATATGACTACTTGCTAATTTCAAGATCATTTTGGAAGCAGTTTTTCGGGAACCACTGCAAATTGTCCATTCTAACCATGAAACTGCTCATGAGTGGACTGAAAATCAGATCAGACTCCTTCTGCACCTTGTTTTTTTTCCGCCAGGGGTAAGAATCCTTTCAGCGTGGCGGCGTGGATAGCAGTAAAATGGTTACAAGAGCTAAGGGTCAGGGAAAGAATGAGTTGAAGATAATACTGTGAGCCAGCAGGGTTGGTGTCATCACTTGCTAACAATGACCTTTGTCTTGTTTTGAGAGCTTTAATGAATGTGTGTGTGTGTGTGTCTATGTGTGTAAAATTAGGCAGGAAGTTATTTAGCGGCGGAAAGTAAGGTAGAAAAGTTAGCCTGTTGCATTAGCATGTAGATACGGGTTATCCCACTGGTCACTGTTGTTGCCAGTTACACGCTTATGGTTTCTATGTCCACATTAAACAAAGTTGAATCATTTGTAAATGGATACATCTATACTAGACACTTTAAACAGCATTTGTACCAAAGATCTATGTCCTATCTTTATGTTTAACATACTTTACTAATCTTCTATTTGGGAGCTTTCTTGCTGCCTTGGCGCAAACAGGAAGTCAACAGCTCCGGTCAAGTGGCAATTTACAGTTAACATGCAACCCGGCACATATTTCATTGAGACCCTTTATTCTTTCATAATCTACTGGAAATTCATTGATATTTCATTCAGTAACATTTTAATAGCCTTAGATATTAAATATTTTTTAAAGTCACTATTGAATTGACGGGATTTAATGGGATCAATTGAGATTTAGTTGTCAACGTTTGCTGTTTCACAACTTCTTGCAAAGTTGCCTACTTACTTTGGAAATATTTCTGTTTAGAATTGACCTTTCATGTAATGCTTCACTGCATTATGGCCTCCTCTGTAAGATTCCATTCATTGATACCATGATAGGATGAATTTGCATTTGATAGCTGATATTTTTTTGCCACATCTACTGTGAACAATAAAGTGACGCATAAGAAGCCCTTTTTTGTTTTTCCTTCAGTCTTAAATAGTGTGGACGCATCACATTTTACACTCACACACAAGGCTGAAACCTCATATCATTTCCTTATATTGCAACATGTTTTTGACACCACTAAATCACAGCCATGTTTTTCTCACTCGGTTCTGCTGGCCCCCTGTCCTGCATGCTTTAGATTTTTCCACACCCTACATACCGAACAGAATCACCTTATCAGTTTGTTATCAAATCCTCAAGATGTCCTTTTGTAACACCTATCTGTTGACAGTTTTATCATGTCAATTCAAAGGGTTATGTAAACCTTTTTCCCGAATAGCTGAAATAAGAAAGTCTGAATGCAACAAAATGTAAGTAAATTGTACACAAAGATAAACTAGGCCATTTGCAAATCTGAAACAAAAAAATAGCAGCGGGTCAGCAATCCTTTCAAAGGAAAAATGCAAATAAACTTGTTTGAATTATCCACAGTTTTTAAAATGACTACTTTTATTAAACAAATCTGTAAAATCCAGTTAGTTTGTTGTATTTTGCCAATATTTGCTTTCTCACAAAGCTTCTCACAATCTGAGATGAAGACTCTTCAGGCTGTGAAATATTCAATACCCTACACTCAATCGTTTCACACAGTATGGCTACATCCTCATCAAATACCAAGTACTCCAGGTTACTGTTACAAAACTGTCTTTGTGTGAGAGGAGATAAAGCCGGCTGTGCAGGCAGAGCTCCACAAAAATACCAGAAATGATTATGCAATGACAACCACTCCTGCATGCTCAGGAACACTTCTGAAAACCTGCCAAAAGATTACGATTGTTTCTTAACCCACAGGTTCAATTCAATCCGACGCCCTCACTGAGAGGGCCGGTTTTGAAAAACAGAAAAGCCGAAAGAGGAGAGTTATGCCTGTGAGGGAAATTTTTTTACAGAAAATACTTCCTTTTTTTCCCTCGACTTAATAGAAATAAAAAAATACTAATTGTATTACCTTACAACAACAATGGTTCTCCAGTAAAACAGTGAAAATCTTTCCTGTGTCTATCTTTAAGGATGTTTTTTGAAAAAAATAACACAGCACAATTTGAATCACTGAGCACTTTGTAAGATAGAAATGAAAAAGTTAAAGTTATAGCGTTGAAAATAAGTCAAATAAGTGTAGTCAGACATATTTCCTATCTAGGTGATTTGCAAGTGGATTCAGCTCTGCAGCATTTTTCAGATTGCGTGCAAGTGTTTGGTAATACCAGAACGGTGGAGTTCATAATAGGCCAAAGCAACAGGATAGGTGTTTTCTGCGGGTATTCCCTGTCAATTAAAACAGAAAACTAGGTTACCACCTGGGATTTCACCTCCTTTACATGAACAGTGTCTCTCGAAACCACTTAATTGGACCAGTATCATCAAACTGGTTTATCTCCTTACAAGAAGGAACACGGAAATTAAATCTTTGAATACTCTCTGTTTGTTTTTATTTTTCAAATTCATGCCCACATTCTGTCCTTGTGCATAAATACAGAAAATAGACGATACTTTATCATTATACGTCTTTAATTCATACAGTCATTTAGTCATTGTTTCCATTTTCTGATTACTTCTAATTCCAATTGGTAAATGTCTTGCGTCTGAACAAACTTAGATTTCCAGGCTGATTGAAGAAATGGTTACCTCACTCTAACCTTTCTGAATAACATGTGAAAAGGATCTCAAAACAGTTAGTACAGAGCAATCAACGTTTAGAAACTGAATGTATATCTCATATCTGCTTACTTTTTCACGATGGATAGTCATATTTTGTTGATAGAAACACACAGATAAGAGTATAGAACAGCCAGCCTTAAACACAGAGCAGCTAAAAGGAGTACCTTTTTTCTTTCTCCTAAATCATTTTGGGATGTGGACTTAATTGGAATGATATTTTTTCAAATAAGCGAAAGAATTTAGGTAAAAAAGTGCTACAAATACATATAAACGCAAACTGACATGAGAGGAAAGAGGGGAAATGGTAGCATCTGCTGGTAAAATAAGGGACTGCATGCAGTTTTGTTGAATTAAACTTAAAGATTAGTTTGAATTTCTTTCAAATAATGAGCTATTAGAAGTATAAATTGTTGTAAGTTCAATTAATGATCTTTAACTTATTTTTACAAAGAAATCTACTATCGGTAATATTTGAACTGTTAAGGAAGGGGTTTGGGTCAAAGTTGAGAAAATGTTTTGGGTCAACCTGCAGGTGGACAGGATGACACTCCCTAATACTGAGCTTTGCCATGAAGGAAAGAAAATCCTTATCTTATATATAGAGAGACTGTCCTCAGGCAAATATTGGTAGCAAGTTCCATAAGAAAAGGGCCTGATTATTGAATGCTCTGACTCCCATTCTGCTTTTAGAAACTTTGAGAAACCACAAGGGACCAGCACTCTGTGAGTTCCGGCTGAATGTGTCAATGTGGTGTAAAACTAGATATGAATGTATAAAAATGTTTGCCTACATTACTGCAATGTCAGGCAGTTTAATAGAAAACTGATATCAGGATTAGCCATCAACAGGCTGCTCTCCATCATGAACTCTGGAACCAGGCAAATTCAGAATATGTTATTAATTTTTCAAAACTTGTGACTATAAGCATTGGGAATGGCATCAATACCAGGGAAATACTGATGTTGTTTTACTTATCATTCTAAGTTTATAGTTTCAAAGACAATAAAGTATTGATGCCCACGTTTTCGAACTTTCTGATTCAAATCAGGTACAAACACCCATTATGGCCACTAGATGGAAGGTGAACTATGGTATAGTGAGTAAAACGGGGACACTACAAGAAAAATAGGATATTGTTGTTTTTATTTATGGTATATTTATATATTTATATATATTTATATTTGAATAGAGTATGATACTACAAGAACGCATATCTGAACATATATATCATTTCTATTTATTTTAATTTTTTTCTCTCAGAGGTCTTCCGATTACGTCACGTTAGTTTCCGCTCTAGCTCGCGGCAGTAAACATGGCGAACGGCTAACGGAATCGTTGCGTTCATTTAGTTTTGAAGGCTCTGTGTTTCCTTCTATATACTGACAAAGCACGTTTTTCTTTGCGTTGAGAATCCGGGTGGGGGGGAGGCGCGTGAAAGTTATCGCGCTCCATTTGTATTTCTCGAGCAAAAGGTAAAATCAACGTTGCCCTCTGTCCCTGAATTCGATGCTAACGCGGGCGTAGCTACAAGTGCATGCTAGCGGTAGTCGCTAACGCTCCAACCAATTACAGCACAACCATTCAGATTTAGCAAGACGTGTGTTGCATGGAGCCTGTTGTTTTATGCCTTTTAGACGATATCTGTGTTCTGATTTACTGGGTCAAACTGAAAGGGGAGGCTTGGCTCGAAGAACAGCCGTTCCCTCAATTCAGACTTTAACATTTTGGCTAATGGTGTTTAATTGCTAGTCTGACTGGACCGCACAGTTTTCCCGAGAAATAGTATTTGAAATATGTATCCACATTTTGAGGAGCATAGACAGATTTATACGCAGAACACTGTTCAATCTTCTGTCCCCTCTGAGATTATATGAAACATTTAAAGAATTTATTAATTGATTTTGATATTTAAGATGCTACCTCAAACTGACGTCCGAATTCCATCATGCTATAAGTGTTAATTACGTTTCATAAGTAATATTATATGATTTGACACTTCACAGGGTGAAGAAGACACACTGCAACAATGGGGCGACGTTCAACCTCTTCCACCAAAAGTGGAAAGTTCATGAATCCCACCGACCAGGCCAGTAAGTAACAGCTTCTACACCAAACTGGTTACCTGACTGATAATACTTGAAGAATTACGGGCTTATTGTTTGTTAGATACAAGAACTTTTACTGGTGTAAACTTGGTTGTTTCTCACTTTACAGGAAAGGAGGCCAGGAAAAGGGAGCTGAAAAAGGTACCTTCCTGTTTTAAAAGGCAATACTTCTTTAAATGCAACAGTGATGGAATGGTGGGGCTAACGTTGTGCTTTGTTTTGCAATTCCTCTCATCAGAACAAGAAGCAGAGGATGATGGTCAGGGCAGCTGTGCTCAAGATGAAGGATCCCAGACAGATCATAAGAGACATGGAGAAACTGGATGAAATGGGTGAGCACTTGGAATCTATGGAGACAGATTTAATTCCTGTGCAGTATGCAAAAAAAAAAAAAAAAAAGCTAAAATCTTGTCATTTTCCTACAGAGTTCAACCCAGATCAGCAGCCCTTGTTGAATGAGAAGGTGTTAAGGGACAAGAGGAAGAAGCTCCGAGAGACGTTTGAGCGCATTGTCCGACTGTACGAGAGAGAGAATCCTGACACCTACAAGGAGCTGCGGAAGCTGGAGCTGGACTATGAGACCAAACGGGGGCAGCTGGCTCTGTATTTTGACTCAGTCCAGGTGAGTTTGTGTGAGATTTTTCCATGCGCAGCACTAGTTTGTCATATCATATTTTAAAGTAGCAGCCGTTCATAAAGCTTTCACAGAGTTCATCTTCCTTTTTCCACTCCTTTTCACTCCAGTTTTTGTTTTGTTTTGTAAGAGCAAAAGTTATATTAGATTCTTTCTTTGGTGAGAATACCTAAACTTTACCTATGAATTATGCAATTACAAAAATGGCATGTCTTTAGGCACTTTGTTGCTAAAAGAAATACATCCTTCAAGAATACTGGTGAGCTATTTGTGCATACTACTTAGTTAACCTGCTTACAAATAAATAAACAGACTTTCATGGGTTAAGCTGTTCAGTTCTGTTGTTTAGCCATTGTGTGCCTCTGTTTTCTAATATGTGCTATGTGCTCTTCTTCAGAATGCACAGTCAGTGGAAGTTGATAGCATCCCTTTGCCTGACATGCCACATGCCCCATCCAACATCCACATCCAGGATATCCCTTTACCAGGGGCTCAGCCTCCATCTATACTGAAGAAGACCTCCACCTTTGGGTAAACTATGGATCAGTGCTTGAACTTTGTTTATGATGCTTCAGAGTCTTCCTGTTTTTGTTAGGTAACACTTGTTGTCTCTCAGCAAAGGCCCTCTATCGTCCACTGGGCCAGTTGCAACAGTGCCAGGTGTCCCACGCTTACCTCCAGGGAAGAAGCCTCCCGGGCCTCCACCCGGACCCCCACCTCCACAGGTCCTGGCGCTTTACGGTATCCCAGCTAGACGCGCTTATGGCTCCGTCACAGGTGACACACTGGTTCTTAATCTTAGCCCAATCTCTGATTTGCTGATCCATCAAAGTGTTAACAGCTCTCTCCGTCTTCCTCGCAGAGCCGTCCATTCCCGGTTTAGAAAAGGACTCGGCAATGGATTTTGGCAGAAATCGGGACAGTGGCAGCGAGAGTGACAGAGATGACATGGACGATGACGACGACAGCGACTCAGAGGAGGACAGTGAAGACGAGAGAAACGAAGGAGACGACCAGAGGGCCCGTGCCGACCGCCACGATGACGACAGGGAAAAAGATGGGGGTAGAGACAGAATTGGCAGTAAGATTTTCACACTAAACTGCACTCTTCATTTCTGAGCACCGTCATTCCAATTGATTGTGCGTTTGAAACCCAATAATGTCTTCCTGTTGTGACCGCTGCAGGTCGCAGCGTTCGGTTTGCAGACATGCCTGCGGAGGCTTCTCGCGATGGGAAAAGAAAGAAAAAGAGAGTGGTGAAGAAAACCAAGGCCATTACTCCTCTGCAAGCCATGATGTTAAGGATGGCAGGTACTGACTGTGAAAGGCTCCTGAAGCTTGTTTATTTTATAGTATTTTTTATGATGTTGAATGCTTTTTATTTTTCCCGTCTGCAGGGCAGTCCGTTCCTGAGGACGAAGAAGACGAGGAGGTGGAGGAGGAATACACTGATGAGTCGGACACATCCGACACTGAGGACAGGGGGCCGCCAGGGGACTGTCAGGCCCATGTGATGGCCAGTCAGCGCATGCCTCCCCCAGCCGGGCCTGTGGGACAGCAAGGACCCCCACCTTTACAAGGACCCCCAATGACAGGGCCTCCCCCACTGGGTCCACCCCCAGCTCCTCCAATGAGGCCTCCTGGTCCACCTTCCGGCCCTCCTCCCGGACCCCCACCTGGTCAGTTACACTTACCGGATTGTAATGCCCTCAAACATGTACAATAATTGGATTTAAGTGATTAAATACTGTTCCTTCTGACTCTTTAGGGGCTCCTCCATTCTTGAGGCCACCTGGTATGCCTGGTGGAATACGGGGTCCAATGCCCCGATTACTGCCCCCAGGTCCTCCGCCGGGACGACCACCTGGTCCCCCACCGGGTCCTCCGCCCGGTCTCCCACCAGGCCCGCCACCACGTGGGCCCCCTCCCAGACTACCACCCCCAGCGCCGCCAGGTAGGCATATATCTGCACAGACAGAAGAATAGACATACGGTCAAAGTAACAGAAGAGAACATGTTGTTGTTGTAGCTTCAGAAAAGTCAGTGGATGCTTACAAATTAGGAAATATGTTTAAAAAAACTCAATATAAGGTAGTTTGAATTGCCTAAAACTGGAACATCTGTTTGGTGACTCCTTACAGGTATCCCTCCTCCTCCTCCGAGAGCAGGCGGGCCCCCCCGTCCCATGGCGCCCCCACTGGCCATGTTTCCTCCACCACTCTCCTCCAATGTGCTCAGTGCTCCTCCCAACATCGTCCAGAGGCAAAAAGCTCCTGGGTCCGGCCCGGACGGCTCGCAGAGCAACATGCCCCCCCCATCCATGCCCATGCGTCCGGGTGTCATGGCAATGCCCCCTCCCCCCGGCACAGCCGCCGCCACGAACAACCCTCCCGGCCACCACCACGCTCCCACCATCGAGAAGCGTGCCAACATCACCTCGGTGGCGGCGGCCGGAGGCGGCCTGGCGGCGGGCGCCGGCTCGGGCGGGGCCACCATCTCCGCCAAACCTCAGATTATCAACCCCAAGGCGGAGGTCACGCGCTTCGTGCCCACAGCGCTGAGGGTGCGCAGGGACAAGAGCGGAGCCACGCCCGGGGCAGCAGCCGGGCTGCACGACAAAGCCGGGGCCGGCGCTGGAGGAAGGAGGGGAGACGACGGTATGGTCGGCCAGTGGCAGAAACACCACGCGTCCGCGCTTCAAACGGGATTGGCCAACCCGTCCCAGATGGGCGCCGTGACTCAGCCCAGCATGAAGACTAAAGACCAGGTCTACGAGGCCTTCATGAGGGAGATGGAAGGACTTCTTTGAGATTCGAGGTGCATTGGGCAAAGGAGGGGTTTCGTCCAGCTCCTTGAACATGTTTCCCATGTGTTTCCTGCAAAGAGCAATGGATGTGGATGTTTTCAGAGCGTTCAACTAGATCAGTTCCTTTCAAATGACCCTAACTTGGTCTGAACATTTGACCTCGTGAAGAGAATGTCAATTTGTCAAGAATAAAACATTGATCATAGATGTTGAAGTCAAAGCATTTAAGCTGAACACTAGGCTCTGAGTAGAATGCATTCTTCTTAAGTATGTTTGTTGTTTTCTTTTTTTACCGTACAACAGCTTTTTTTTCTTCTACCCATCTGTTTCTCTTGGCCATTAAAAGCAGTTTTTTTATTATTGAACAGTTGTTTATTGTATTTGTTTTCATCAAAAACATGGAAGCTGGATTTAAGAAAATTTGTCTGACATTGACAGTATCCAACTTTGACTGGCAGTTCAATAAACTCATAAAACATCATCATAACTGTGTTTCACTTTGAAGTGTCGTCGATGGTATGAGCAACACAATATCATATCTTTAAAAACAATTATTTATAACTGTTTATATTTCTATATATGTGTGTGTGTGCAGCACAGTTGTCAGGTTGATTTTCTAACCTTGTCATCTCATTACTCGCTTGTGTTTTCTCTTTTGTTTCTGTGACTTTCTCTGCACAGAAGAACTTCTCCAAACAAAAGACAAAAAAATGAATCATCAAATGCTAAATCACAGCCTGGGGGGGGGGCAAACAACCACACACACACACATTCTATTTGATATGTCCAATTAATCCAACATGTATGTATTATTCTATCCATTTTCACAAGATTGTGTTTTTTAATTTTCTTTTATTTGTGAGGGTTTAATGTAGAACGGGCACATTTTGTTTAATGACCCCAATCTCCATCATCCATTGCGGCATGAAATGTAACTCACTTCCGTGCATGCGCATTGCAGAGCTGACGACACGTTGGGGAGAAAAAGCATGGCGGACGAACAACAAGCAAGCGTGAGGCCAAACACAGATGAAACTCTCGACGATTCGAGTGGTGATGATGACAAACAGACTATTATCGGAGAAGATGAGGAGGTGGTGAAGACTTTCAAGGACTTGGTATGCTTTTTTTCTCCCGAACGAGCATTTCACGAGCACCACAAAGCAACAGAACTAAGACCAGCTAGCTTAAATAAGCTACTACTACCTTATGTGAACTCTTTTTTTTTTTGCGTGTAACATACCTGTTTGACAACCGGTTCTGAATATATGACAAAAAGTTATTCAAACGTTTGTAAAGTTTATTACCGGTGCATTTCTCCTACAGGGTGTTACTGAGGTGCTCTGCGAGGCTTGTGATCAGCTGGGATGGAAGAGTCCAACTAAGATCCAGGTGGAGGCTATTCCAGTCGCTCTGCAAGGTTAGAGCTACCTCTCCCATTCTGTTCAAGTACCTTTTCTTGCCATTTATTTTCCAGTTTACAGCCTTCCTGCGATTACATTGAAATCTATTATAAAAAACAAGTGTATAAACTTTAATTGTAGGCAGAGTGCTTAAAATATAAAGACAGAATGCTATGTTCCGTTATTCACTTTATGATGCTTTTACTGCACTTTGGGGACTATACAAGGACCAGATCATGCACTTGCATATGAATTTTAGCAAAAGATGATGTGTGTCTTTCACACCCTAACGTCTGTGCTGTTGTTTGCTCTCCTTCCCTTGCACTGCAGGGAAGGATGTCATCGGCCTGGCAGAGACCGGTTCAGGAAAGACGGGCGCCTTTGCGCTGCCCATCCTCCAGTCACTGCTGGCTTCGCCTCAGAGGCTTCACACGCTGGTTCTCACCCCCACCAGAGAGTTGGCCTTTCAGATCTCCGAGCAGTTCGAGGCCCTGGGATCCAGCATCGGCGTCAAATGCGGTATGTGGCGTCCACTTTGTAGCGGGCACCTGACACTCTCTCTGGACCCGACTTATGTATTTATTTTAACCTTTTTCACCTCTGTTACAGCTGTAATAGTGGGCGGTATCGATATGATGTCCCAGTCCCTGGTGTTGGCTAAAAAGCCCCATATTGTTATCGGTAAGAAGATTTGAAAAAATCTGTAATCACGTGCATATTTCTTTAAAACATATATAAGAACAATTAAATAATTATTACAGTAGTCTGTAGAAATAGCTTAAAGCTGAATAAAATAGTTGGACTAGCTATTGTTCAAGTTCTCTTTTTAGATTAGCAACATGAATAACGTATAGATGAATGTTTCCAGCCACCCCGGGTCGGCTGATCGATCACATGGAGAACACAAAGGGCTTCTCCCTTCGGGCTCTGAAGTTCCTCGTCATGGATGAAGCCGACCGAATCCTCAACATGGACTTCGAGACCGAGGTGGGTGTCGTAAACCGTTTAACATCAGCAACGCCATCTGGCACCCCTCTGCGCAGAGTTTTTTTTTCGATTCCATTTGGGTTTGATTTAGTCCGTGTACATTTGGGGTGAACTACTCCCAGACACATTTATTAAATCGTGAAATAGGCAGAATTGTCAGGTCGGTCACGTTGAGGGTTTACTACCCTAAACAGTTCTCTCTGGAACCTAAAGATGTTAAAAATCTTGAGGTAATACTGGAATCAGACCTGAACTTTAACAGCCATCTAAAATCAGCCAACATCAGCAGCCTTTAACCATATAGAAATATTTCCAGAATCAGAGGAATAGTGTCTAAACCAGACCTAGAAAGGCTAATCCATGCATCCAGAGCCAAAGTACATTTCTACCATGTTAGAGCCATATGAACCAGCTCGGGCTCTTGAGACTCTCAGGTAGGGAGAGTCAGAACCAAAGAAGGAGAGGCTTCCTTTCTGTTTTATGCTCCTAAAGTCTGGAACAGTCCTCCAGATGAAGTGAGACAGTCCTCTGACAATGTTTCAATCCAGGCTGAAAAAGGTTCTGGTTAGCTGTGCATGTGACAAATTAAGGTATTTCACCTGCTTTCTTCACTTTTAATCTATTTAATTAATTAATTAATTTTTTTTAACTTACTCTTACTTTTCTGATGAAATTTTCACCTTTAATCTTTCATGTGAAGCACTTTGAATTGTCTTGTCTATTAATGGTGCTGCACAGATAAATGTACCTCGCTTAAGGTTTTGAAAGGTAAGCATTGAGAAAGTATATTATTGTTTTTTTCTTTCCATTTTCTTTGTTTGGATATTGGATTTATGTTCTGTTGAAAATGTTCAAATACATTTCCGTGCACCATTAAGCTGTGCCCCGGTTGTAGCTGGACTGAGGCTTTTACTCAGTTTACTGTTGTTGTGTCACTATGAAAGCACAGGAGGGGAAACAATGTGTCGGCTCATGTGTCCTTTTTTTTTTCTCTACTTCCCACAAATAACATCCGCTGTTAGTGGCACATTATTTATTTGCGGTTCAGATTTTCCCGTTTCTGTCAGGGCAGGTCTGGTGGTGGAAACTGGAGATCGTCGCTAAGACCGATTCAAGTCCAACCCGGCCTGCACATGCGGGCCTAATTCAAAAGTTGCATTTTTCCATGTATTCTTAAGAAAAAGAAATACTGTACTAATCGCCAATAGAATGGAAAACACATTTTGTGTTCAACTATCCAAATGCGACTTAAACGATTAGGCTGGCAGAAGGCTGGGTTTTGGAAATCTGCCTGTGCTGTAAGGAGTCTTTGAGAAGACAGTCGAACCACATCGCTCCTAGGCCCGTGTCCAAAGGATCCCCAGGCTGGAGAAAAAAAAAACTCTTTTCCCAGTCAGGGGAAAAGGAAACAAAAATCCCTTATTTCTTGAGTAGTTCTGCCGCATTGAATGAAATCATGAATTTGTGGTCTGATGTCGCTGCGATACATATGTTTGTGTGTTTATATGTATTTTTCCAGGTGGATAAAATCTTGAAAGTGATTCCAAGAGAAAGGCGCACCTTCCTGTTCTCCGCCACCATGACCAAAAAGGTAGGCAAAGACCGTTTTTTTGTTGTTTTATGAACGATATTCAATTTATTTTAGTTATGGAAATTAAGTTGATGATATGAACAGACAGAAAACAATGTTGTTGTGACATAATCAATGCCTAATATATTTGAGAATGTTAAAAAGAAAAAAAACTTTAGGAACTCATAGGGAACATGTACAGATTTTGAAACCATCACATCTGATCATTACTCTGAAATGAGCAACTACAACAACAGTTTTCCCTATTCAGGCTCATTAAAAAAATAATTAAATGGTATCTGTTTCAAGATTTAATAGAGAGAAAATTAAAAGACAGAAAACAAGTGAGGGGATGAAATAGAAGCACGGCCCCTTTAAGAGAAGCTAAAGTTCTCGTGCAACTTCAAACAAAAGTAACAAATGATTAGCTAAGACCACAAAATCCTAAAGGATGCAAAAGGGAGATAAAATCCCAATTCTGAAATTAAAGCAACATAAAATACACTTTTTGAGCAACATCTTTGACTCATAAAGGCAAATATACTGTATGTATATATTAGAATTTCAGACTCGATTTAAATCTGATCTCAGAGCGCTTGGGCTGGTTGTTATGACGATGAATGAGGTCCAGAATCCGTGTTCGCTCTGTCGCCGGCTAACAGGTCCAGAAACTGCAGAGGGCCGCTCTGAAAGACCCCGTCAAGTGTGCCGTGTCCACCAAGTACTCCACGGTGGAGAAGCTGCAGCAGTATTACGTCTTCATACCGTCCAAGTACAAGGTGGGGCCCGGCTTTGGCGCGATCCCACGGCTTTTCTCTCTGTCCCGCTCCTGTTTCAACCTGACCCCCCCCCCTCCCGCTCTGGTGTCCGCCTGCAGGACTGCTACCTGGTGTCCATCCTCAATGAGCTGGCAGGCAACTCCTTCATCATTTTCTGCAGCACGTGCAACAACGCCCAGCGGGTGGCGCTGCTGCTGAGGAACCTGGGCATCACCGCCATCCCGCTGCACGGCCAGATGAGCCAGGTGGGGCCGGGGGGGTAGGCCCTTTCAGAAAGGATGGATACATAGGATTTTTGCAGAGAAAATGTTGTTTTTATTAGTTTTTTCTTCTTCTTTGGGTTGTTTAGGTAATGATTTAGAAACAGAAAGAAGTGTGTGTTTCCCCTGGGGAACGTTTTCAGACCTATTGTAACGCTGCCTGCGTGGCCCCCCCCCCCCCTTTTCCACCGGTTAGAACAAGCGTCTGGGATCCCTGAATAAGTTCAAATCCAAGTCCCGGTCCGTGCTGCTGGCGACCGACGTGGCGTCCAGAGGGCTGGACATTCCTCACGTCGACTGCGTCATCAATTACGACATCCCCACTCACTCCAAGGTACCGCGCCGGCCGTTTCCGCTTGTGTTTGTCTCTTCACTTTGATTTGAATCCCTGGATCCGCTCGCCCTTCCGCAGGACTACATCCACCGGGTGGGCCGGACAGCCAGAGCCGGGCGGTCTGGGAAGTCCATCACCTTCGTCACACAGTAAGCTTAGTTTTTTTTAAACAAATGAGTAGGATTAAGTCTAAGACAGCTGTGAAGTAACACGCCGCCGTTCGTTCACCCCAAGGTACGACGTGGAACTTTTCCAGCGAATCGAAACCTTAATCGGGAAGAAGCTGCCAGCTTTTCCCACCCAGGAAGAGGAGGTGATGATGCTGGTGGAGAGGGTGAGCGAGGCTCAGAGGTTCGCCAGGCTGGTAAGTCGCGCTGCCCATATTTTCCAAGACTAGTCCCCTAGTAAAATATCAATTTTTTTCATTTATTTTTTTGTTAAGAAAAAGTCTTGGGACTGTGTAAAACTTATATTTAAAACAGAATGTACTTCATATTTCTGTCCAAATATCCTTTCAGTGTTTAAATTTAGACAATTATGCATCAGCACTTTAAACATTTGGGAACTGAGGAAACCGGCATCTTTCGTTTTTATCTGTCATACATTTTGCGTCATACATGTCGTATATCTGATAAACAAACTGTTGAATAAGTGCAGAGATGTCCGTGAAACACTCTGAACCTGAAAACGACGATGGTCCTATTTTAGGAAATGAAGGAACAAGGTGAGAAAAGGAGGAGGCCGAAGGGAGGCGCCGCGGACGACGACGACACAGAGCAAGCCAGTGGAGTGAGGAAGAAAGTGAAGGGGGGACCGGGGGGCGCGGGCGGAGGGAAGAAGAGGGGTGGAGCAGCGTGGAGGGGAGGACGCTGACCAGTGACAATGTACATAACCACAACACACAAAACAATCCGCCAAGTGACTATTTAATTCCAGAAAAAAGTATGTTCCTTGCCTATCTGAGTCGATTCACCCCCCCCCCCCCCCCGTTTATAATAAAACCCAGTAAAAATGTAAAGTTCTGGAATTTTGTGGATTCTTTTGGGCTCAGACTGCTCATCTTTGCATGACTAATACGGGATATTTTCAGTTTGCAGCTCTTTATGGATCAGTGAGGCAAGTTGGCAAAGTAACAGTTGCAAGATGCTGTTCTTGATGGATGTCAGTGGCTTTTTTTGGAGAGGGGGGGTTTTGGTTATTTCAACCCAAGGAGGGAGACTGACCACAAAGCCATGGCCCAATTGTTTCCGGGCTGCATCCAGTGGGTGTGGGCAATGGCTGGATATTTTTTTGATAGATTTAAAGGGGGCGCCCACCACAGCCCTCTGTCCCAGCAAAAAAAAAAAACCCGGCCGGGGCCCCCCCCCCCCCCCCCCCCCCCCCCTCTTTAGAGGCAGCACTCTTGCCCGCTGCGCGCACCGAAGTCCAAATACACGCTCGCGTTCTCAGTCGCGCGCAGCAGTCCGTCGCATCGGAGGGGAGAGCTCAGACCGCTCGGTGAACAGGATCTCGCTGCTGATTCGCTGACAACGCCAGGTAAGTTTTTCGTCCGGCGGTGGGGATGGAGAGCAGCTGTGAACCCGCAGGAGGACCCAGGTTGCTCCGGGAAACTTAAGTTTGACCGGTCTGCTTCGCGGGAGCGAGCGAGTCCCGGAGCTAACCTATCGGTGTAAGGCGGCGTTTTGGTTGACCACCTGCACGTAGCCGACCGCCAACGGTTGGTAGGAACGGTTCTGGTTCTGGCTGTTCGGGGTTAGCTTTATGGCCTCGAACGGTCAAACTAAACGCAAGTCGGATATTCCTAAAGCCTTTGTTGTTTGAAGTCGTTTAACCCAACGGTTATTCTACTTTTATACTTTTTATCCACGGTTTCCCTTTTGACCCGAGTCATGGCACACATTCCTCGCGCCGCCTATACATTAGCTAGCCGCGCCGGCCCCGCAGGTTCATTTCTGAATATTTTAGCCTAAAACACGTAAGCAAGACTTCGGCAGCAAGTTCTTTTTAATTTATCGCTCGAACGACTGCACTATAAAGGGTGGCGGGTTATTTTTTCCATGGGAAAAAGGGGGTCCTCTGCATGGAGAAAGAGGGGCTCGGCACGCGAGCCATTCGCGACGTCAGTCGGGACCGTTTGATGTGCTGCAGGAGCGCGCAGCCTGCGCAGTATGCGCAACACCGCTCAGAACAGCTCCCACCGACGGGCTTACGCCGTGCCGTTTAATGATCATTACCGTTAAACCTGACTTAAAATATTCCCTCTCCTACCGTCGATTCGTTTAACAGGCTTTGAACGGAAGGCATTGCGTTTGTTTAGTTTTCCCCCCTCGCTGCGCAGGCCTACTATCTTGCAGCTTTATGGTATAGAAATAACAGATCTGGCTGCTGAGCAGACCTGTCGGAAGAGGTGTCGAGGGACCGGAGTCAGAATGAGAGCCAAAGCAGCCACCTTAATTGAATAGAAACGGGATGGTGATATTTACAATGTCCACAAAAGGACACAAGTGTACAGTTATTGGATACAAAATGACCAAAACGAGATAAGAGACCCCTTGTCCTAATGAGATGAACAGTATAGATACACTTTAAAAGAGTGCAAAACTAAGGCTTCATGGCTAAAAAAGTGATTAAAGTGATAACAGTCTAACAAATTATCCAAAATAGATGGAGTATTATATCAAATGTATGGAAATGACAATAATTACACAGTGCCTAACACAGTTATGTCACAGTTACTGTGAATCATTCTGCAAACATGCTGAAAGTTGTATTTGCAGAGCTAAGTACAAAAGTGTTCGGTAATGTCAATTATGATGATCAACTATAAGCTTCTTTTCTCTTTTTTACTTGAGTGGGTCTATCCTGGTAATAAAACCCATTAAGATCTGGCGCAAACCTTTATGTACACCTTTGGCCTTTCTCTGTTTTGTGACTGACACGTCATATTGACGTGGCTAACCTCTGACCATCTCCATTCCAGGTAAGATGTCTCATCGGAGTGGGCAAGAAGATCCGGAGCGGTACCTGTTTGTGGACCGCGCAGTTGTGTACAACCCGGCAACGCAGGCCGACTGGACGGCCAAAAAGCTGGTGTGGGTCCCCTCGGAGCGCCATGGCTTTGAGGGGGCCAGCATCCGGGAGGAGCGGGGCGAGGAGGTGCTTGTGGAACTGGCGGAGAATGGTAAGAAGGTGGTGATCAACAAGGACGACATCCAGAAGATGAACCCGCCCAAATTTAGCAAGGTGGAGGACATGGCTGAGCTCACCTGCCTGAACGAGGCCTCGGTGCTGCACAACCTGAAAGACCGATACTACTCTGGACTCATATATGTAAGTGCATACACTTAGACTTCATGGAATAACTTGTTCTCAAAACAGTTTTAATTTTTTCACTGTTCATACTGATTAACCGTGACCTCAGATATCTCACTGCCTGCACAGTTAATTAGATTTTCCATCCTGTTCTCATTTGGAAATGATGGACAGGATTTCTGCTTATGTGCGTGCAGTTTTATCATCTCTAACCATCTGTCTTTGCACTCCTCTGTGAAAGTGAGAGCTGATATTAATCTCTCTGCTCACGAAAAGGGAAGGCACCGACCACACAAATGCACACATTTGCATTCTGAATGACTGACAGATCCCTCCAGTCTCATAATCATTTCCAGACTTACTTTTTTTTCTTGTGCCTCCTGGTTACATTAAGTTAGCTCCCCCCGCTGCTAGTGTCTCACCTCTGCTGAAGGTAGACCTCTTCCATAAACACTGTTGGTTCAAGTTTGTTTGCCTTGATCTGTGCTCCGACTGATGGAGTTTGTTTGATCACAGGGATGGCATGACCCTGCTCTTCTTTGGCTCAGCGTAAAACTGCATGTGTCCGGCGCAGAATGATAGAAAAAAGGGACATTTTTGCCGTCGTTTAGCTTTGAGAAATGCAGCATTCCCAATAACTGTGAAGTTATGTCTTAAATGGGCAGATTGCATTCATGTACGCCCAAATGTATTTTCAAAAGTACATTTGTTTCATGCTTAAATTACCTGTGCCGTGCTGGACAGAGGACTTTTTAACCTAATCTCTGAATCTTAACAGGTTAAACGTTTGAATTATTCAGGGGCCACAGATGTGTTGTGGTTTATTTCACCGCTTTGCCTCAATCCCTGTGATCTAATTTCACTGGAGAAGGAGCTGATCTATGATGTTCTCCTTGCGATCGCGACCCATTTAGTGGCATGTTTTCCAGGAATAGAATGTGGGTTATCACATTGGAGACTCGGGTTCCGGCCTTCTGGAGCAAATTGTAGCTCTTATCAGTTGTGCGTCCACGGCTCATTTGTCAGAAGAAGTTACTAACTAGCTGTTCATTTGTCACTGCAACAGATTGCGAGTGTGTTTCTTTACTTTTGACAATTACTATGGCAATATACTATAATTTGTCATTGCTTAAAAGGAAGAAAATATTTCCGCACTTACCCATATGGCTTGAATTGTAATCTCATACCACCAGCTCGAAAAGTTCCTCTTCCATTTCCCTGTTATGCCCCACTGTCATAGTTCTCTCCCTTGGTTTAGAATGGCGCTTGTTAATTGTCCCCTTGCCTGTGAGAAATTGAAAACATGTGTCAGACTCTGCTGGTTTTATGTCAAGAAGAAGAAGCCCCCAGCGTTCTAAACTTTTTTCCAGTGTATTTAACTTACCCCCACAGAGTTCCACAGCAGCCATAACACAAAGGCCCCTGCATTCTGTGCTCTTATTTCTCGTTATTGGGATGATATCATCATCAGCAAGGATAAAAGGATGAGTTTAAAGGACATGTTTTTCTTACTGTTAAGCTATATTATCTTTTTAAAAGGTTTAAATGTTCCAACTGGAACAATAAACTAGTTTGTTGTTACTTGTGTGAAAATTCTTAGCTGGAAATCTCCAATGATGCATTGAAGTGTTCTTTAACCGTTCTTTTACATTGTTTTAGTTTCTGCCCGCTTCGCTCAACCATTACAATATGAAATCTACTACCATTTCTGCTGTCCTGCACAATTTAGGCAAAGATGAGGGGAAGAAAAAGCTGAACTAGTTCAATCAGCACTTGTGAAAAAAAGTTTGTTCACACTTTTCCAATTCCGAGACTTTAAATGCAAGGTTGTGATGAAGAATTATTTAGCCTGTGTTTTTATTTATATAACAGAAACTAAGGCAATTTGGAAGCTCCTAAGTCTAACAGCTGTAAAGCACGGTGGTGAAGGGCTAATGAATGGGGCTCACCTTGAGGTGATAGGATCTGGACACTTTGCAGTCATCTAGTTGACTCCTGTATGCCAAAGTAGTCCAGAGTCAAATATGAGGCCATGTGTCCAACTGTTAGAGCTTCGCTGAAACAGGGTTATCAACAGGACAACAGCCCCCAAAAACACCAGCCAATCTCAAGAGTTAAGGTGTTTCCAATAGGTCCCGGTTAAAGGCCCGACCTCAACATGACTGAAACAGTGTCGTGGTGCACAGTGAGAGCTGCCCACAAACCAATGCTCACAAAAACTTGGTTAAGTGACCGAGATCAGAAGAAAAGGGGGCTGAAATTCCTCCACGATGATGCGAGAGACTGATAACGTCATACAGAAAACAACTTCTTCAACTTATTGCTCCTAAATCTGCAAGTTGTTGAATCATGAAGTGAGCTTTGTTTTATACAAACAGCTTCTGTATTTTTCAATTTTTTGATAAGAAAATACATTTTTAAAAAGAAAAAAAAAAAATATATATATATATATGTTTATTTCATACTAATATTAACTAGTTGAAGTGTACTGTCCCAAAGATTGTGTACAGTTATTATTAGAAATATAATTATACGTAAGAAATGACAGTTTTATATCTGTGTCTGTAACATGTTTAGTGCTAATGTCTGTCTGTTTTGGATTGGATGGAAAAAGGTTGGACTATCTAGTTAAAGTGATGTTTGCAAAAGTGGTCCCTTCTCGCTTTTTGTGAGTCGGGGTTTTAAAGAATTTCTATCAAACCCATTGGTGTGTGATATGTCTTCTTAGCCCATGCTTTCTCTTCGTCTGGTTCTGAAGAAATCTGTCAGCTTCATTAGGGCAGATAGCCAGTTTGGACAGATTTTCTTACTATTACAGTTTTTTTAATTTAAATTTATTGTATTTATCTGTAAGGTGGGGAGTCAGAGGCCAGCCGCAGTGCTACACTGTAGGCAACAGCACACTAAGGGCCTTTGTGCTGTTAGATAAGCCTCAGCTGTCAGAAAGCCTCAGCATTCTTCCGTGGCGAAAAAAGGCCGTCCGTCTGTCTGCCTCCTGCCACCCACTTCAGCCCTGATGCTGCCCAGCCTCTCTCCTGTCTTCCATCACCTCCATTACTTTTCCCGCAGTCCTTCTGGACCTCCTCTCCTTTCTGATGAAAAACATCTTTCCCTCTTTACCTTCCCTTCATCAATTATGCTTTTATCTCTTTTCAAATGTTAGATCTGCACTTCTTCCATTTTTCCAACCTCTCCAACCTTGTTCTGCATGAGGCTGCACTAGGATCTGTTGCACGGCATTAGGAGGAGGGGGGGAAAGACCACCGAAACTACATAGTTTCACCATCATATGTAAAAAGTGAAGAGTTCATGCATTTTTGGTCCGGCTGTGCTAACACATCGCCACCAGATGTTTGCGCTTCTTCAACACGCTGCTAGTTTGTGCAGTTAGTTTCCCTGCTTCTATGCACACTGCAGCCCACACACAATGGCGATGCGGAGAAATCAACAGAGCGAGCCACAGGAAGCTCGTACACCCCGAGTGTCCTTCCCAACCTCTGGAGTGGAGGCTGCCTGACTGATCAGGGGCAGCAGATGGGCTCGGCTGTTGTGTCTGCTGTCGCTCAGCTGTTACCAGATCGCGGCGTCCCCTCCCCTGGATCTGATTTCACAGTGGAAATATCACCTTCTTTTTCCTGGACCAAAGCGGCCATGTGCTGCGTGGCTCCCGGGGCGCAGTTAGCTAAACGCTCGCCTGGCCGGCAACAAGAGAAGCAAACGTAGTCACTCTGGGTTCTAACGCGGCTGAACTGTACTGATAAAACGGAGCCGACCTGCTATTTATAGAGAGCTACAGATACAGGGAAATAAATTTTTCATTAGCCTCAAAATGGAGAGTGGAGAGTTAGAATTTCAGCATGATGTTAGGTAGGGAGCAATTTGCAGAGTGGCTCACGGCACCATTCAGTGCTCGTTACCTCGGGGGAGCCCCGTCAGCTGGATCATTTCCCCACGCTTCACTTCTGTCTGTCTCACCTACTGCTGTTCACTGTATCAGCAGATGAGCATCGGTCGCCCGGTGCTGACTGAAGGCCCCAGCTAAGCCGTTACGTAACAGCCGGAGCATGCAGTCCACACTCTGGGCCCCCTTTGTGACTCTATGGCTGCTGAGTCACTCTTCCTCCAGTGGCTCCCTCGCTCGTTTTAATTATGAAGGAGGTGCCATGGTGTGTGATGCTTTGATGTGAAAAGACGAAACCGGGGTGTAAGCTTTAGCGTCTTCAGTCATTTTGATAAGAGACGGCACCTTTTATTGGCATCAGCAGGATAAATAGGTCACAGAGCTTGGTCACTCACCAACAGTCTAAATAGTGTTTAACCCTGAAGAGTTTCACCTTCATTAGCTTTATTAGCATCTAATGTCCATTTTTATAGGTTACTCTTTATTAAAAGTTGTACCTTTTTTTTAAATTCTTTAGCTAATAAGTAAATGTGTTGCTTTTTTGCTTTGTTCCTTAAATGGATGCATAAGTTCCTGCATCCAATGGTTATCTTACATTTTGTGGGTATGTGCAGCCTCTAAGGCATAGATTCTATGCTAGTATAGGTCTAACACGCCGGTGTTGGAGGTCATAGTGTGTCAATGCAAATGCCCAATAGCATCTGCAGAATGAAGGAGAGTCAAGGCCCCAGCGGAGGCCTCTCGCTCATTCCTGGCTGCCATGTGGTCAGTTTGCTGCGCCGCACGGCAGCTGAGACGCTCACACTCTCTTAAGGAGAGATCATGGGTCTAATACTGCAGCCAAATGAAAAAGCATAAATCGTAAAGTTGCACCTAGCTCACCGTGAAATGAGTTTAACATTTTTTACTGTTTTAAATTTTTTAACATTTTTTTTATTAATTCCTTTACCACCCTTTTTTTTTTTTTGGAGCAGGCCCCTTGTTGCTTGACCAGAACACACATCTGTTCAGTTTCTACTTAAGTCACTTTTCCTTCAAATCTGTCCGACAGTCTGCTCTTTGTCTGTTGCTTTGTGCATTCCCCCCACAGTGATGTAAGCTTATAAGAAGTGTGCAATAATAAGCGCTGAAACAGTGCAGGTCGGATGAGTCACAAAGAGGAATTTCTATTCACTGTTAAATCTAAGAGTCTAAACATTTGACATATCCCGATCGTACGTGCACTCGTAAATCTGAGACTTTCGTGTATATGTATCTGAGCACAGCTGGAGAATTAGCCATTACCTAACAATTTTAGTGTTTGAGCTGTTTTTTTGTGAAATTTTGCTTCCCACTCCTAATCTTTTACTGTATGTGTGTTTTTTCTTATTGTTTTATATTTTTCTTCTTTTTTGTTCTCTTTTAAATTGGCAGACATACTCTGGCCTTTTCTGTGTGGTCATCAACCCCTACAAGAACCTGCCCATCTATTCAGAGAACATCATCGAGATGTACAGAGGAAAGAAGAGACATGAGATGCCCCCGCACATTTATGCCATCTCTGAGTCGGCATACCGCTGTATGCTTCAAGGTAAAGTTGACAGTTGATATGGCTTAATTTTGTGTGTGGGGGGGGGTTAATACTGGGTAGGCATTGACAAGTTGGATTTAGGCTCATTGTAATACAAATTTCAGCATTTTTGCTATGATTTAGTTAATTTCAATATCAAGAAAACGTATATCTGGAGCCTATCCCTGCTTACAGTGGGTGAGAGGCAGGCCACAGCCTGGACAGGCCTCTAGTTCATCACAGGGTCACACAGAGGCAAAGCGAAGTCTGTTTTGTTTTTTTTTACTTTGGGGGGAGGCCGGAGATCTCACAGAGAACCCCTGCAGACACAGGGAAAACATGCAAACTCCACCATGGGGTTAGAGTTATGTAGCATTATATGTTTCATTCTCAGGGTCTGGCTTTTGCAAAAGTCATACATACTTTCTCTTTCACTAAAAGTAGCTTCCAGCAGCCATGAAAAGACAAAAGGGAAGCAAGTAAAGAGCGGGGAGAGAACAGCTTCAGCAAATGTCTGTCCTCAGTTGGCCATTATGCGGTCCTGCTGCTGGGATTCCATAGATTTGTTCTCATCCTACACGCAGCAGATTCATGCTCTCACCTAAAGCCGTTGTGCTTATAGTGTGCTACGGGTAAGCTGGAGCCTGTCACGCACAGCAATGAAGGTAAGACAGCTCCAGATACTGTATTTTATCCTCAAAAAAACAAAACGTGCAGCCTGTTTATCGAGGCCCACGCCAGTCAGCAATATGCTGGAAAAAACAACATCTGGGAGCTCGATTACAAAAAACAGACCCATAGGACAAAAGGGCTTTGATCCATTTCAATGTGTTTGATTTTGATCTCTGTGGTAAGCACAAGTTTTTCGCAGAATCTGCTGTCACTATAGCATTTTTTCAGTTTTTTTCACGTTTTTTTTTTTTATCCTTTCCGTTTCATCAACTTTGGGCAACTTTAAGTCAGAGAATGGAAGCCCTGGCTGAACGGGCCTTTGTGAAAGTATGTACATTTGCTACACACCTCAGCATCTCCTTATTGAACTCTGGATTCACATGTCCATTTCGGTTAAGTATTTTCAGGTATGGAGGGTCCCTTCTGTTGTATTGTTTGTTTGTGGGATTGTTAATACCTAAAAATCCCTTAAAATGATCTGATCTATAACAAGAGTCAATCATAACATAGCAAGATCAGACTGCCAAACACTAACTTGTTAGAATTTATTGGAAAACCACGTGACTGTCAGTTAAATTCCAGAACTTTTCCTCGTGTGCAACTCAGCCATGGGCTACTGGTAATCCCCTTTGACCAAGATTTGACCACAGGTCACATTCTGCATTAGTGATATAAATTGTTGCAGACTCATTTTTTAATCAGGACAGAATTGTTGAGTCTTGGAGCTAGAAATAGTCTGTTTAGTGTTGCATTCAATTGCAAAGCCCTGCGATGTGTCTTAAAATGCTGTTTTAACTTCGAATTTGGGTGTGACTTTTGACTTTTGGCTTACGAGTTCCAACAAATGTGGCATGATTTGATTCGAAGTTGGGTGGCACCAGAGAATTAGTCTTTTTACTGGGCCGAGGTGTCTGATGTAGAAACCCCCCCGAAACTGAGCGGTTTATCCAAAGGTACATTTCAGACCATGTTTTTTTCTTTTTCCTTTTCTTATTTTGAGTTGGCAGTGACTCCAGACGTACGCGCTTTCAAGCTCAGACAGAGATCCTTCATTTCATAGAAAGTCCCGTTGCAGGTATCTCATGCAGAGAGAATAGAACCCACTTTCATTCACAACAGGCTGCTTTTGTCACGTTTCCAGGAGTAACTGTTGTTCTCTCTTGCAGATCATTTGTAATCTCTCCCCTTTTTGTTCCTCTTATGAGGTGTTCTCACAATCTGAGCGCAGCTTTAGATTGAACCACAGACACACAAAGGACGCACACTCATGCCATCCTATTATCACCAGCCAACGTGTTTGTTCTGGGGTATATGGGACACCTCTCTTGTGCGGCCATTCTTCTCTCTGACCCCCTTTTCCACCCCGCTCATTCTTTCGGACCCCGCACAACATGCTCTGCGGAATGAGGTCGCCGCCACTCCTGCGTTCCACACCACGTTGCACTAAATTCTACAAGCTGACTCATTGTCAAGTTGTCATAGCCGTCTGAGCAGCCGATTACCCTTCGCCGGACTTCCAAGGCTAGGGATGTGTCACCATGGATACCTATGTGTATATCTGTGTGGGTGTGAGACCAGAATAGCCTTCCTCTGGGATCTCGAATAGAGGTGTCACTTGGTGAATGTTTTTTAGCAGGCCGCAAGCGAGGCGCTTTTGTATGTGCCGTTTGAGTCCCATTCGTCTGTTAAATATGGCCACTGTCTCCTTCAGCTTGTCTCCTGTAACGCTTCAGAGCCATTTCAAACCACTTGAGATCTCCTACTGTTTTATAATTGCTTTCCTCATTGTCCTTGTTGGTCGAGCAGCTGGCGTCTTCTCATTTCCACCCTGTTCCCCCGCTTTGCTCTCGAGTTCAAGTTCTTTTCTGGCAGTTCCCTTTTCTCCCTCCTTTCTTTTAACCAGAATGTTCTGGCTTGGAAGACACCGAAGAGGAAAAAATTCCCCACATTGTCGAAGACATTTTGGCCTCCTTTCAGTTAACATGAAAAGTACAAACCGAAGCCCTGTAGGAGGCTCTATGGCAGCGTGCTCGGCTTTGTCTCATCCTTTGTAGCGCCTGATTAGTAAACAGAAGAACATGCGTGTGGAATGTCAGGTTACTGCCAGAATCGCAATGGTTATTCTCTTTTACTGACTTAGTGTGTCTTTGTGTTTTCTTTTTTTGTTTGTTGGTCAAGTGTTTGTTATGCTTGTTAGCGTCTTAGCAGAGCTAGCCATTTATTTCTGAATGAAGTAGCACATGGGGAAGTGCAACCACCGACATCTTCTTTCTAACAGGAGAACCTTGTACAGCCTTGTAGAGTCTAGAAAATTGTTTTGCCCATGGAAATTTGAGGTTCAAACTCATCAGCTATGAAACCCTCAAAATAAAATATCAGTCCAGCAAAGCAGGGTGACCAACATACGTTATAAAGCATCATCTCATTTTCAATGATTGGCTATTTTTGCATTTCAGGCCAAAAAGTTGTAACTGCGGAAGTTTAATGCTACAAATTGGGTAAGTTAAACAAAAATGATAGCCGATAGCTGTTAAAATCTCTTTTTTTGGAACACGTTAAAAGGGAAAATCACTGAAATCTAATAAGAAAATATCCCCTAAAATAAAGAATGGAGGAGATTACCATATTTTTCTACTCTGGAGTGTATAATAACAGTTTGGTCTTGAGGAATTTCATTGTATAAAGGGCACGATGCAAGCCTGGGCTGGACACCTGGGGTCTCTGATCCCTCAGTGCCACAATGCATCTAGAACAGCTATTTATCAATTGTTGATAAAACCACGTGAGCAGGCGATTACTGTGGGATCCCTTTGGCAAACACTACTGTACAGACATTTTATAAGACACTTCCTGCATCTATTCCAATGGTGCACCACAGGAAGAAGAGACAAACAAGCAATTCATTGATTTCAATCAACTGTATCCCAACATCTTATCAGTGAAAAGTGGAATAAAAACATTTGCCAATGTGTAAGGCAAAAATAAACAAAGGATATGACATCACATTGATGAGACAAAGTTTCAAATATATGTGGCTTAGACTCTTCCTGTAAAGTAAATGTTTATGGAAATGCTTTAACTGCATTTTTTTGTCGTTGGAGGCAACAGAACACACAGTCAAAAAAGTACCTCAGAAAGGGAGAAAATGTAATATGAAGTCTTTTGTTTTTAGGGGATATTAGAAAGGGGTTCAGCTAGGATTAAACAAACGGATGACCCACAGCTACCTCATACATGAACAGAAACGAGAGCAAAGATCTGAGTCTAAAGATTTAAGGACTGAGAGCAAAGTAAAACGACAGCACAAAAAATGTGAGTATGAGGGAGATGGGCAAGAGAAAGAGGGTGCAGGAGGGAAAGAGTTTATGGGGGAAAGGCAGAGTGGAGGGTACGGGGGAAAGGCAGAGGGGGCGGACAGTATTATACTTCACAATGGGGGCTTTGTGCAGTCTGAAGGGGGCTGGGACCACAGTGCTGTGTGTGGGTGCAGACGCGGAGGCCCGGAGCAACACAGCTCTTCCCAGGGAAATGAGGCCGCGTGTTGTGTCAGTAAGGGCTGGACAGAGGGGCTGGTCAAGGCCGCGCCCGGCGTCTGAGTGACAAGACAGGTGTGTGTGTGTCACTTTCTGGTCTCCTCTCTGCACTCGTACGTCCGTCCAGACAAAAACGAGGAATATCACCAGTGAGTCGCAAACACATTCACAGACTCGCAGGCGCAGGAGTACACATAAAGCAGACGCACCTTTAACGACGGGCAGCTGCGGAGTTCATACAGGATAAAATCATATTTCTGTTTAGGGGATACGCAGCAGCTCTGATTTACGATCACTGTCCACCCTTAGGCTTTGTTCCCTACCCAAACTGGACAGGATGACGATCAGAAGGGCCGTTTGGTGTCACTCACCGTGCAGATGCTTGAGATGTTTTATGGAAATACCTAAAACTTGGCTTCCTTACCTCCTTTTTTTTTCTTCCTTTTTTTCCCTCCCGACATCTTTCTACAAACACAGACTGATTGATATCAGAGTGTGGTCAGGAAATCAGAGGAGAATACTATCCGCGTTAGTCAGACACGGGATACGAGCACACTCGCGTGTGTGTGCAACAGTCACAGCGAGGGCCACGGTAAATCGAAATCCTGACCTGTAGGGGTTGGCGCGTGGTGAGGACATGATTTAAAGCGGAGTCGCTGTCATGTATTGATCTCTTTCCTGGATGGCGTTGTCATGTGAAGCACATAGCAGGGGCGCCAAAGCCTTGGAGGAACAGATAGGGTTACCTGTCTGGCACTGTCGCCGCCCTCCCGTAGACACCCGGAAACCTCCTGCCCAATAAAAGCTGACCGCTTCATCTACTCTGTCAGTGC